GGATGTGTCAAAATATAAACCTTGGAAGATGAAGAAAATTTACCATCTTTGTGAGGGCCAATGCTCTTTTGCTTGGAAATGCAAATTTATCTTCTATTGTCTTAATTTCTTGGCCTCCATCAGCCCCTTCCAGTCATCTGGTCCCTGTTCCTGGTTCCTCACTACTCCTTTCACACTTGCCCCTCCCTAATCTCCGAGTTATCCATTGTTTCTCCTTCTCATTCTCACAGAAGTGTTTGTCCTGCCCATTAATTAATGGGTTATTAGGAAGGGGCAAAATCATGTCAATCCAGGACAAGAAAACTAATACTGGTATTTTATCTGGGAAGATTTGGGATTTACTTCAGTACAAAATACTTAAGTATCCTGTTTTATAGCCCCAAGTGCCATTAAAGACCAACTTCCCAGAATGATAAATTCTGTTAGACCAAAGTATCTAGAAATCTTGACCAGGTTGGTTTTAGCTTTTGAGTAGAAAGCTCAGTCATTCTTGGAAGATTTTAAGTGAATGAAATTGACAAGAAACAGAAGTTGGTAACTTAAGTTGATGAGAAATGGGAGTGAGCCTTGAGAGACCTGAGGGGACATGTCTCTGGCTGCATGTTGTGAAAAGAGGGGCATAGGTAAGGAAGGGGAGTGAAACAAGAGCTATAGACATAGCCCCTTATCTTCTATTGGGGGACATTTGGCCTTGGCATTTTCAAGAGGTCATTATCAGGGTGCTGAGCAAGGTATTTTCTCTGAGTACGTTCTGTTTCTGGGATCCTCCTAAGGTAGTGAGTGAGTCACTGATGCTGGAATCTTAGAAAATGGCCCACTTATTTTCTTTTCTGAGATATTGCAGTAGAATAGACAAGGTGATTGATAGCCTTTACCATCTCCCTAGCATCCTCTCTGAACCAAAGGTAAGATGGAGATATGGGAACTTCGGCCTTATAAAAGAAACCTACAAAGTGGTGCCATGTTTGGCTGACTCAGCCAGAGCAGAGCAGTGGCCCAAGGAAATGACCATTGGTTTGTACAGAATGTATAAGCAAATGTGCTTTTTCCTGGGTTTGTGCTATTTTATTCCTTGGTACCCATTGGTAGTGATTAGGTCATGAATGAGCTTGGTAATCATGGAGTGAGGTTGATCCTCGCCAGGTCTCTCACAACCCTGAAAGGAGATTAGGTAGGTTATTTAGTTCTTGGGGAAAAAATTCCCAGCACAACTACTTCCAACTTAATTCTGCTATTGATGGGCAGGGCCTGGCCAGGTGATGGAAGTGAAAACTCCAAGTTCTTACTGATATTGTCATCTTGACTTCAGCCATTTCATACTAAAGAATCTATCTCTGTAATTTATACAAATCTCCAAGACTGATAAAAATTTATTCTCTAAAAATCATTTTATCTACAGTAACAGCTATATTCAATCATTTGAAACCTGGAAACCAGGAAAGGGACTAGAGAACGTTCTGAAGCCCATTCATTGCTATGACTCTGTGTACACAGCCTTGGTTACCTTAAACAAATGGCAGCAATAATTTTTCCTGTACCTGTTGTCACTATCAGTCCTTTGACTCTATTGACTTCCTCACCTTTTTTCAGATTTCCTAGGTGCCAATTTGGGTGGGAAGAAGGAAAAAAGATCTCATATTAAAATTGCTGCCAAGAAGAAAAACCAGATGCAGTCACAGTGTATGAAAGAACAGTAGAAACAGTTTTTCCATGGTCTAAATTTATACATTGACACCTTTCAGTTATTTAGATCTGAAAGCCATTTTAATTATATTCCAAGTAATCTCAGACAGAAAGATTGGTTTGGTTGATAAACTTTAGATCTATGGTAACTGATTCTTTAAGACATGAAACTCTATCTGTCTTCCTTTGGTGGCACTTAACTCTAGAATTGTCCTCTCCTGAATCACTGTCCATACAGTAAGTGCTTACTGAGTACCTGCCTTAGTTTGGGTGTTAACCCCACATTCTAGGTATGCAAGAGATCCAGTTCTACTCTCATGGACTATTTGGTGTTGGCTATGTGATGAAATGTCCTGTGATAATACTACTGAGCTTGCACTCAGGATACCATTGGATTGAGTCTCCTCTTTCCCCCTTTCTAAATTTAAAACTTAAAACCAACTTATATAACTTCCAGAAAGATATAGAAATCAGTTATGAGCTTCTGACTCCATCCTTATTTTCACTCTTTGATCTCTTAAAAGCCACCATTACGGTGGAAAGGATGTTAACTATGATAGCTAAATAGACTCTGGTTCAAACCCTGGCTTTGCCATTTATTAGCTGTATGACTTGGAAGTGATTTAGATTACTCTTCTCAGAGGCAGTAGGGTTAAACAAGGGATTAGTACTAGGTTTAACCGTAAGTTTATTTGCTGGTGTCCATCCCAGTGTGGGTACAGGTAAAAGCAGAGTGTTGGAAAGACAGAATTCAGAGAGCCATGAGCAAGAATGCTACTTGTTGAATCAACCTTATAAAGAGGAGAAATAGGTCTGAAGGTGGTGAGATCCCTGTGTTGGAACAACTGTTTTAGATTCCCATGGATCCCTTTCCCTTAATTCTCCCATTTAGTTTTATTTTGGCTAGGCTCGGGTTACCTTCCCCTGCTCCCACTCCACTCTAGGAACCCAGTGTACTCAGACTGCCTATGGTTTCCCACTGTGGCAGCCTGCTTCAGTGCTTAACCTCTCCTGATCCTTTTTCTCCATGAAAACGTACTTGTCCTATGCCCTAGTCACTCTTTTCCTTTATGGTTTGTTAGCAAACTTGGTGATGATGGGCTGACATACGAATAGCTTTAAATGTATTATCCACCCCTGGATAATTCAAATATTAATAATGTCAAATATGGGTGAAAAATTAGGCAAAGGACATCTTTGTCACCTATCAGGTAGAGCAAGCCCCTAGTGCTAACTAAGTTGGCCCTACCAAGAAGCAGACTGAAACCTCTGTCATGTAAAAGATAAGTGCATGGCAATAAAGACAAATATCTTCTGTTAGGCAAAAGAGTTGTATCAGGAGACCAAAAGCAGAAGGTACCTTCTCCAGAACCAGATTATTTCTGAAGAGGGGATGTTCTAGTCATTTTCCCTCGAGATGCTGAGACTAGAAATGTTGGGAATGAGTGTTTGAACAGGGCAAATTTGAGAGTGGGCTGGAGCCATGTGGAGCTGGTACTTTGTGTCCTAGTGGTGCCATGCCCCTGGTAGAGATGAAGAAGGTATTCAAGCTTAGATGAATGAACACTCATTTGTTTGTATCTGAATTCATCACATTTTGCCAGTTGGCCAGGGGCATAGGTTGGCCTGTGTGTACTGAGCTATTGATGGTTGCTCAGAAGCAGCCTTGTTCAGAACTTGGGTGTATGTATTCTGTGCGGGAGTGATGCCCTTACAAGTGAAAATGAACCTTTGAGATTATCTCCAGTTCATAAATGATGAAGCCTGCTTCAGTGCTTAACCTCTCCTGATCCTTTTTCTCCATGAAAACGTACTTGTCCTATGCCCTAGTCACTCTTTTCCTTTATGGTTTGTTAGCAAACTTGGTGATGATGGGCTGACATACGAATAGCTTTAAATGTATTATCCACCCCTGGATAATTCAAATATTAATAATGTCAAATATGGGTGAAAAATTAGGCAAAGGACATCTTTGTCACCTATCAGGTAGAGCAAGCCCCTAGTGCTAACTAAGTTGGCCCTACCAAGAAGCAGACTGAAACCTCTGTCATGTAAAAGATAAGTGCATGGCAATAAAGACAAATATCTTCTGTTAGGCAAAAGAGTTGTATCAGGAGACCAAAAGCAGAAGGTACCTTCTCCAGAACCAGATTATTTCTGAAGAGGGGATGTTCTAGTCATTTTCCCTCGAGATGCTGAGACTAGAAATGTTGGGAATGAGTGTTTGAACAGGGCAAATTTGAGAGTGGGCTGGAGCCATGTGGAGCTGGTACTTTGTGTCCTAGTGGTGCCATGCCCCTGGTAGAGATGAAGAAGGTATTCAAGCTTAGATGAATGAACACTCATTTGTTTGTATCTGAATTCATCACATTTTGCCAGTTGGCCAGGGGCATAGGTTGGCCTGTGTGTACTGAGCTATTGATGGTTGCTCAGAAGCAGCCTTGTTCAGAACTTGGGTGTATGTATTCTGTGCGGGAGTGATGCCCTTACAAGTGAAAATGAACCTTTGAGATTATCTCCAGTTCATAAATGATGACATCTTCATCTGTGTCATAAGTACCAGGCCTTTGGTAGTTTTCTCAGTCATTGAAAAAGAAAACCTATAGTATCATCCTTAAAATACAGCTTTCTGTCACTGGCCTCTTGATTTTAATGTATACATGGTGTCTTTAAGGTTCACACTCTTTAATTCAGATTCTCCATGATTGAGCTCTGTGTATTTTGAAAGTGACCCCAATTTCCTTTCTCTATCCTTAGCTCTCTCTGCTTTCAGTGTAAAAAAAAAAAAGGATTTTCTTCATGATTTTCCCAGTGATGTTTGGAGGTTTGTTTTGTTTGCTATTTTCATAGAAATCGAGGGAAAATGGATCAGAGATGTTTTTGTGCATTTAAGTAATCACATTCTTCTGGTTCTACATGTCCTTGATTCAGCTGCCTAACTGTTCCCAAGCAGTTCAGTCTCATTTTGCTCATGACTGGTCTTTTCTAAGGTAACACTTGGATTCTATCTTGGGGATCAAAAACTTGAGAAATGTTTTAAGAGGCTGTGGCTTCATTGACAATGGAATTGCAGTGGGTGGGCGTGGGCAATGCTTACAAGGCTAAATAAAGGCTCTTGGTAAGAGCACATATGCTGAGAAATATTTCATCTTCCCTCTTACCATAGCAACTTTATCTGTAAGATTAAGCATCCTGATGGTGGTATAGTTAATAAAAAAATCTCGGCTCCAGTTCAGAGCTATTTGTCTGCCATTACTGGAATCTGTTTACTTTCATCCATTTCATCATTTGATTTGTGTTTCCTTCTGTCTTCCCAGGTGGCATTGGTAGGGTGGTCAACGGAGCCTTCATGGTGCTGAAAGGGCATCGGTCTATTGTTAACCAGGTCCGATTTAACCCCCACACCTACATGATCTGCTCTTCTGGTGTAGAAAAGATTATCAAGGTGAGGCACCTTCTCCTTCTGTCCTTTTACAGAAATAATTACACTTCATAATGAGAAGAAACTAGAACAATGTATGTAGGACCTCATACCTTAACATTCTAAAGGTCTATCAAATTTATCAATTATTTTGACATAAAATATTGAAAGATGGATATTTAAAAAAGTGGTTCAAAACCCTCCTTTCAGAACCATTTTAAAAAAATAGTTACTAGACTTTGAAACTAGGCACTACTGCATTTCTAGTAACCTTTGATCTTGAGTCTAATGACTCAAGTTACTCAGTGTGCACTTAGCAGTAATTGCTGTCCTAGTACAGCACAGATACAACTAAGTGACTGCCAGAACCATATCTAGATTGTCTCAGAACATACCAAAACCACTGCATATGGTTGTGATTGAGGCTAAACATTTGCACCAATTGCCCATCAGCTGAACTAAATAACCCTCAGTATATTAAGAGCCTGCACAACTGAGACTCAGCCTGGCCTGGGTCCATGGGAGGATGGCCCACTGCCCATGATTTACATTCTAGTTGCTGATAACTCTTTTCCACATCTGAGAAAATGAGGGTTCTGGGTAAATGATGAATTCTTGAAGCTCATGTGTAACTTGACTTATAAGAAGAATAGATAGTATTCCCTCCCAAACCCTCATTTTTTTCCTAAAATGACATTGAAAATCTGAGGGTGGTTTCAGGGAAAAAGTAAAAATTGGTTTATGGTGATTTGGGAGTTTTCATTTTCTTTTGTTCTTAAGAAAAGAATAAGGCTATCCAGAGTTAAATCAAGTTGCTTCTGAGGCAGAGGAAGCTCTCAGAAATGTAATGCAGTATGGGTCAGTATTTTTATTTGTCTTTGTTCCAACTTCCTTTGTTTAAGTTTTATTGGTCCCATAAATCAGGGCTACTGTTCATAATTGCACACATTTCCCAAAAGGCTACAGGACTTCTAGATGATAATTACTGACTTTTTCTTTTTACAGATGATGCGATTTAAATTATAAATTAACTGTCTGGGGTTAATTGCACAGCTAAATAGTGGTAAAGCTAGGATGTGCTTTATTTTTCCCAGGGTACAGCTCACCCACCATGCTAGCAGGCAGGTAGCGGGCAGCCTGATGCCCTGCTGGATTTGATCACCTCAGTAGTCCTTCACTGCGGCAGTTTTTGAACTGGCCCTGGCCCTTGCATAGCTTTCTTCGCCTTTGGCCTGCTAGTAATGGGTTGGAACAGGAGCATGTGCTCTCTAGGCCTGTGGCCGTCATTCTCTTCCTCAGAGAGCTCTGCTGGGGTACCTTCTCTGGAAAAGAGATTCCTGCTTGGCTGTGCACTCAGGGATGCTTCTGTGCTAAGTCTCCCCAGTTACTGTTCAGTCCACTGGAGTCCTTACCCCCAAGGTCATAGGTTGGAAACTAGCCAAGTTCTCAGAGGAAAAAGAGAAACTGTTTTCTCTGTGAGCTTATCCAGATTGAACTGTGGAGCGCACTCACTCCTTCGAAGTTCCAGTGGGGTCTGAACCCCGCCACACCAGGAGGCATGTTTAGCCATTTGAACTCCTAAGTCAGTATGGTTGGTACCCTTGAGCAGCTCTTTGAGTCTGTCTCCCTCTGTCAAATGAAGACATGAACGGTGACTTGCCACCCAGGAGTGCCTTTTGAATTACTGTGCCTGACAATTTCTGATGATTTTAATAAAGGTCACCTTCCCATTTGCTATTTCTGAGAAGATCAGTGGCTCAGAGTATCATCCCACCATGTTCTAGTCCACGTACTTTTCTCTGCCCTCCTCTTTCTCACCTTCACTTCATTTTCTCTTTGTCTTGTCCTTTACTGCTGCTTTCCTAGCCTAGAGGAGAAGAGTCTCTCTTGTCAAGGCCAGCTTCTTTTCACCCATAACAGGTCTTCTATTCTCCTGAGTGCCTACATTTAGCAAAAGAGGGGGTTCATTTAGTAGTTAAGCATAAGAGGGGGCAACATGGGGGAAATGCTGACATTTTTTCTCAGAGACCAAGATTATTTATTCATCCCTGCTTACAGTATACCTATTGTGTGCCATTTGTGCTAGGCCCTGTGGGGAACACAAAGGTAAAAAACAGTAACACAGGCCCCCTAGGAATTGATGATCCAGTAGGAGAGATGAAAAATAAAGATAAAGAAAAATGCAATAGGTGCATAAGAGATGTAAATGATGTACTGTGGGAGGAGGGAGAGGTGGTTTGCAGTCTGGGGTGATCTCACTGTAGGTACTATGTGAGCTAGATTTTGAAGTATAAAGACTGCAAAAGGCAGGAGTAAGCTGGGAAGAACATTTTTTAAGTTGACGAATGGATATTTAATTATTGAATTGAACCAACAAATATCTGTTGATCGTCTACTATGTTCCATGCATTGTGCTTATAAATAAATGCCCAGAAGTAGCCAACTGTGGGACCTGTTCAGAAAGTAATCATGTTTGGCCAAGGTGAAGAGCACAAGAAAGGAGAGGACTAAGATACAAGTCCAGAAAGTTAGGCCAGAGGAGGGCCCAAAGGGTCTTGGAAGCCAGACTGGGGAGTGTGGAGAAACCATGAATAGCAATTTAGGTCCCTATCTGTGTAGTTTGTTTTTTGGTTTTGTTTTCTGCTTTTTGGTAGATGGAAAAATTTCTAAATTTAGTATAATAGTACAAAGAGAGAATAGGGCTTAGAGCTGCCTCATCAAGTATGTCATTGTCACCTGTGTAGATCGGAGCACCGATACTTAATTGCTTTCCGTTTTGATGATGTTTGAATAAGAATTAAACTGCATCCTTTTCCTCAGCAGCCTCTTGAGCCAAACTTTTAACTGGGCTTGGAGAGAAATCTGCTCATCCCTCCTCCTTTTCTCATGAACCTTGGCCCCAAAGGAGGTGTGTCTAGCAATAGTTAACATGTAACAGGAAGTTGTGTTTGCATGACCTCACTTCTGAGTTGTTGACTTTCAGTGTAAAGAAAGAATTTCACAAATGTTTGAAATTGATATTATAAGGATGAGGACCAAGGTAATAGGGATAGTCAGTATTTCTGTTGATCAAAAGTCTCTTTGAGGATGAGTCTAAAACTTTCTGATTGAGGTAATCAGCTGCCAAGAGAAGAAAACACAGCACATTTATTGGTGCTTGGGTGTAGGTTATGTCATTTCATCATTCTCATTACTGCAGTTGAGAAAAGCGGCTTTCATGGGTGAAGTCCTTAGCCCAGGGCCACATGAAATGATGGGGCTGGGGCACCTACCTGTTGTTATCTGCTCCTGCAGCCCTATGCTACAAGTCCCTCAAGAACTGAAGACTAGCTGTCTGGGATGGGGTTTTCTTTTGCTCTGAATCTCAGGATTGGATGACACTCATCTAATTCACTGTTGAGCTTCACCCAAGGTCACCAGCTAATAGGAGCTGAGTGGGAACCCATACTCAAGTCTTCTGCCCCCCTGATCCAGCCTTTTGTTCCATTACTCCAAGCTTCAGAAATGAGAGTTACCTTGGCTTAATGTATTCCAGAGCCCAACCAAAGCTGACTTCAGGGTTATGGTACTCATTCCTGAAGTGAAAATATAGGGGGCTGGGTAGTAGATGAGAACCTAGAAACTGGCTTGACAGTTGGGCTAGCATCTCACTATTAATATTTTATATTGCTATTAACAAATTCTGAGTTTCTGTGAAGCACATGCAGATTTATCTTCATATTAGATCATATGGGTAGTAACATTTTATCATTTTTAAACTGGGGAAGTAAGAGATTTGGCCCAGAATATAGAATAAAATGCATAAATGTCCTAAGGGCTTTGCTTTTTTGGACTTTTCAGTTTCCTTTCTAAGCCACCAAAATTTTATTCCCTTGGACATCTGTTTGCAGAGACAGTCATTTATAGTTTGGTCCCATTGCTGAAGACAATGTCTAAATGTTTCCCAAACACTGGGTCTCACAAAGAATTTGAGAATCTCTTCAGACAAATCCTTAATTTTCTGCTTATTTTCTTCTGACTATATTCTAGTGTTTCTTAAAAGTTGGCCCCCACATTTAATCACCCCTTGAGTGCTAGTTAAAAATGCAGAGCCCTGGTTCCTACCCATGGCTTAACTGTATCAGAATCTCTGAGTTGGCTCAGAAGGCAACATTGTAATTATTCTTCAAGTGATTCTTGCCCACTCCAAAGTTTGGAACCACTGCCTTAAAAACTTTCCAGGTGAGATTGTGTACTGGAGAGGGAAGAACACATAAGTTGGTGACAGGGAACAAAGTTAAAGGAAGAGTGAATCTGAGTTGGGAATTGGTGGAGAGAGCTACCTAGAAGGTTTCTTCAGCCTCTCTCGGACTGGGGACCCTCCAAAGAGATGCTACCTCACAAGAGTCCAAGTAAAGCATGGCCAAAACAGGCCTTGGGAAAGTGCTCACAAGGAAGTAAACTTGCCCTTGGATAGCTTTGGGGAAACAAAGCCATTGTCTTGATAGAGGATAGGGATTGAGGAGCCACTCTTTTCTGGGTTGGATGCCATCTAAAGATAGACACCAGCCTGTCAAGCAAGAAGATCACCTGGAATTTCATCTGAGTTGCCATGGCTACCAGCTGATGTAACTGAGCTTTTCTGTGCTGCTTTGTGGACCAGTCTGGCAGTCAGGTGAAGCTAATTATCCTCATTTTCAGTGACAGCTTAATTACCTTGAACTTAATTTTTGCATAACTTACTCAATTGTAGAAATGGGCCTTTGCATTCAGACAGATCTGAGTTTGAATCCTAGTTCTGCCACCTTTGGGGTTTGAGTGCATATCTCTGACCATGGGATGGAGGGATGTTAAGGGATGGGGCTGCAGTCTTGGGGTGTGTGTCCTACCTATTAATGCAGCTTGGGGAGCAAGCCAACAGCTCCCTAGTTAAGAAAACCCAGTTTCCTGGGTAACTGATGGCTGCATGTCCAAGAGGGAACTGCAGTGTAGACAGTTGACTATTCTTACCAAGCTCCAGTAAGCAATTCCCATTAGTTAAAAATAGACATGTTGCAGTTGGGAGAAGTGTAGTTATAGGCTGAAATACTGTCACAGAAGACTGACTGCTGGGTCTGTTTTCATTTTGGAAAAGTGGTATCTTTCTGTGCACAGCTTCAGTCTTCTGAAGATTTTGAACACATTGGCCGATCTTCGAGTCATCCTGTATCCTCTGAGATTACAAAGGTTATAGTAATTTCCAAGCTACTAATAGGGGAAGCTAAAGAGGTGGAGTGGTGTGTGATTCTCCTGGGCCTAGAAACAGGACTTCGGTCTCCTAACACTAGGCTATGGTATATCGGACACCATGCTTTTTCCCACATCTGACTCTAGAAGCCTTGGTTTTCCTATATGGCCCACAGAATCCATTCTGGTAAAGAATTTTTTTTTACGTTGGTTAGCAAGCCCTGGCTAAATAACAGGGAGGGTCTCGGGAAGCTCTGCCTTGGTGTTCTCTATCGCCACCAGCTTTAGAAACCTTTCCAACCAGCCCTCCTTGGTTTTGTTTTCGCCTTCTGTGCAGATCTGGAGCCCTTACAAGCAGCCAGGATGTACCGGAGACTTGGACGGGCGCATTGAGGACGATTCCCGCTGCCTCTATACCCACGAGGAGTATATCAGCCTTGTGCTGAATAGTGGTAGCGGCCTGTCACATGACTATGCCAACCAGTCTGTGCAAGAAGACCCCCGGATGATGGCCTTCTTTGACTCCTTGGTGCGCCGCGAGATCGAGGGCTGGAGCTCTGACTCAGACAGCGACCTTAGTGAGAGCACTATCCTCCAGCTGCACGCAGGGGTCAGCGAGCGCTCAGGCTATACCGACTCAGAGTCCTCAGCCTCGCCGCCCCACTCCCCTCTGCCCACAGTGGACGAGTCTGCTGACAGCGCCTTCCACCTGGGGCCCCTGCGGGTCACCACCACAAACGCAGTGGCCTCAACACCGCCACCGCCCACGTGCGAGGATGCAGCCACTCGCCAGCAGCGCCTGTCTGCTCTGCGGCGTTACCAGGACAAACGCCTCCTGGCCCTTTCCAATGAGTCCGATTCTGAAGAGAACGCCTGTGAGGTTGAACTGGACACAGATCTTTTCCCCCGGCCGCGGTCTCCTAGCCCTGAAGATGAGTCCAGCAGCTCTAGCAGCTCCAGTAGTTCCGAGGAGGAGGAGGAGCTGAACGAACGCCGAGCGTCCACCCGGCAACGGAATGCCATGCGCCGCCGGCAGAAGACGCTGCGAGAGGAGAGGCCCAGCGCCCCGACCAAGCCCGCCAACACCTACATTGGAGAAGACAACTATGATTACCCCCAGATCAAAGTGGATGACCTCTCCTCTTCCCCCGCCTCCTCCCCTGAGCGGAACACTTCCACTCTGGAGTTGCAGCCAAGCCGGGCATCGCCAACTTCTGAGAAAGAGTCAGTTGAACGAAAGATCTATAAAGCTTACAAGTGGCTCCGCTACTCCTATATCTCCTACTCAAATAACAAGGATGGAGAGACCTCCCTTGTGTCTGGGGAGGCAGATGAAGGGAGAGCAGGAACCAGCCACAAGGACAGCCCGATCCCTTCTTCTAGTAAGGAAGCCTGTCTGAACATGGCCATGGCCCAGAGAGACCAGGACCTGCCTCCTGAAGGCCGCAGCAAGGACACTTTTAAAGAAGGGACTTCTGCCAGAAATCCCAGCAGTGGCCCAGGCCATGAGCACAGCAGCCACCCTTGGGCAGAGGTGCCAGAGGACGCCTCTCAGGACACCAACAATGGTGGCTCTGTAGAACACTCTTTTGAAACCAAGAAGCTCAATGGGAAGGCCCTGAGCAAGGCCCTGAGCAGCCGAGCAGAGGAGCCGCCCTCCCCTCCTGTCCCCAAGGCATCTGGCTCCTCTCTCAGCAGCGGGTCTGGCAGCTGTCCCAGGACCCAGTCTGATGACAGTGAGGAGAGGAGCCTCGAAACCATCTGTGCCAACCACAACAATGGGCGCTTACACCCCCGGGCCTCCCACCCCCACAACAATGGGCCAAACTTTGGGGAGCTAGAGGCAGTGGCCTATTCTTCCCCAGGACATTTGGACACTGACCGTGATAATTTGCCCTTGATGGGGACACTCCTACACAAAGATTGTTGTGGGTCTGAAATGGCCTGTGAGACCCCTGGTGCTGGAACAAGAGAGGACCCCACTGACCCCCCAGACACAGACAGCAGCAGGGCTGTTCATGGCCATAGTGGTCTCAAAAGGCACCGAGTCGAATTGGAAGATACAGATTCAGAGAATTCCTCTTCAGAGAAGAAGTTAAAAACATGATAAATACAAAGGGAAACCAAAAAGCTATGGAAAGTAGCTTTACAAAAAAAAACTTTAATCCTGTTTAGTGAACACAGAGGAAAGGAAAAAAAGTATTAAAGGCACATAAAACCAGGGCCTGAAATTTTGTGTCTGATGCTGCTCCCTTCTATTCAACAGTGGGTCTGAATTAACTGCCCGTTCGGCTTGTGCTATGTGTAAGGAAAAGGAAAAAACATCCAAGTGACTCCTTTCTAGTGAGAATTAAGCAGAGCATACCTGTGCAGATTCTGTTAGAGTAAATCCTTATTGAGCCATTTGACTTTTCATGTGTGTGTGCACTGGCTCGGGCAGGCTCATTGTCTCAAAGACTCTTAGTACTCTATCAGAAAGGATCTATGGGTCTGTATTTTTTGCCATCTCACCTTGTTTACATGCCATAGGTGTTCTGGTCTTAATGATGTGTTCCTGCTGAATCAGGTTGTGCTGCCAGTAAGTTGTGGCTTTGCGCTGAAAGAGTGGGGAGGAGAATGGAAACAGGCCTTCAGCCCATTAGCTGTGCTGGGAAGGAAAGTATGGGTCCATTTTTAATCTTCCATGCTTTCTTTTCATGTCATTTCTTCAATGAGCATTTAATAAAGCAGAGCATTTTTAATGCCAGTAAAAAGTTAGCACTTAAGATCAGATGCAAAAGAACATAGGTCCCTGATAAATTTCACCAATTGCAAATTAAACATAGGTCTCTGATAAATTTCACTGATGCTGCAGCACATACTGTATGGAGGCCATAAAATAAAATTAGTTGTGGTAACACTTTAACCAGTTATGCACTATTTGCTGAAATGGACACAAAAGGCCAAAAGGCACTTCTTTGGCCCCATAGGATGGCTTCTAGGCATATTAAAAAAGGGGGAATAAAACAGCTTATAAGAACTTTGTGCTCAGACTACTAAAGTGGATATAATAGGTGTGTTAATGAAGTGTAGTAAAAAGAAGAGTGTTGTACTTTATTCATTTAATTCAATGCACAGTGATTGATCAGAATTGATGGGACTAGCATATTCCCATAGACTGGCACCAGGCAGAGGCTGCGGTGTTTTGACTATATCTTGCAGAGCAGTAGGCATCTTGAAGTAACAGACTCTTACTAAGTTGGTCTCTTCGGAGGCAGAGGGTGGGGAGAGAGGAGTCACTGGTTTAACTCCTGGCTCCTAGAAGGGATTCTGTTTCTTTGAGGTATATAAAGATTGAGAGGGGAAAAGACCCAAAAGATTTTAAGCATGGCAGTGGTGGAAACAAGTCATTTGGTTCTCAATAAGGGTTATGCAAGGCAGGAAGACTTATTAGAATGACCGGATAACTTGTTGCATAGATATGGAAAGGCAGTAGAATATGGGCAAGAAAAGAGGAAGAGAAAGAGGGAGAAGAGCACTGTAACGTTCTTGGGTGCAAAGGTGCTAGACAGCTAGGAGCCTAGCTGGTGGCACTGGCATAGAGAGGCCCTAATATGTGATTGGTGTGTCCTCATTGACCCAGCGCTCCTTTTTGAGAAGGACCTGTCCTACCAGAACTGAGACCGAGGGGAGACCACCTATGGGGCATGAAGACTTGGATGAGTTTAGGCACTGGAGGAAGGGGGTGTTATTTATACAAGGAAGGTTATTGATCTAAGCCAAGGAGACATCATTTTTCCAAGTTTTGTGAAAGGAAAGATGTATCTGGTATGTGTGATGTAACTTGGGCGTGAAAACTCTGTCTTAGAAGGAGATGAAGGAGTGTGCTTAGCAGTGGGGATGCTTATAATTTAATAATAATCTCACTGGGGGATGGGAAAGTGATTCTGTAACCATTAGAAGTACTTTGGTTTTGTAATCAAAATGGTTCTATGATTTGTCTTTGACTAGTACTCAGATACTTGTAAATTCTGGTTTTATAAGCCCAAGTTATTTTACATTTGCTTTCCCAAAGTTTATTAAATTGGAATTTTTTAATCCTTTATATTCAAAAAAAAAAGATACGATCATTCAGTGTGTGTTTCTCTTCCCCTTCCCAGTCAGTATAACCAAGCTTTTTGTTTTATTTAATCTAGTCAGTAGGTAGCCTCTTCTGACTTCTCTAAGGGAAATCTACATATCCACATGTCTTCCTGGAGAAAAGAAATAATGAAAAGTTCCTTTGAGAACTAGCCAGTTGGTAGTTACTGTTCCCAAATGTAGAACTTTGCTTTGTCGTGTTAAAAGCCTAAATCTTATTTGGGTACTCGGAAGAGAAGTCAAAGTTCATTCTGGTTCAACTTTAGTATTCAAGAAAGATTTTTTTCTTAGCAAGGATGCTTTCTATCCTGGGGGGAGACTCTTCCTAGCACCCCAGGTACAACTTGCCAGGAGATAGGCGTCACAAAGTTCCCACAGGAGCAGGCTGAGAAATGCTTATCTCTGTAACCACTCCATTCTTGTTTTCAGAAATCTAGCTGTGATCATGGATCTGGAAACCTAGCAGAAACCACTTCACAGTTCCTTTGCCTAAACCCTTGTAGAACTGAGGCCCCAATTTTGGAGGCACATTTATTTCCCAAATTTTCGGTGACAGGTATTTGACTAGCAGAATAGATGGCACTGATTAGGTAAAAAGAACTGTGCGAAAGTGCCTCTTTTTTTTTTCTGCATCCTGTACATAAAATTGTAAGTGGCTGGTCCACATATATAAAATGTTCCCACTTTATTTTCCACCTGGTTTTGTGATTCCTGTGTCTGTCTCTAGGACAGCAGGTAAATGAGTTAAATGAGTAGTTGGCTTGGAGCAAACAAAGGTTGCAACTGTGCTTGATTTACTAAGCTGGGAGGCCCTTGTTTGTCAAGGCACCTTCCTCTGTTGAAGCCTTATCTCCTCATGAGCCCCACCTCTCCCAGCGACACTAGCTCTTCTTTTGTGTATATGCAAATAAACCTATTATTCACTTCTCATGGCTTCCTCTTCTCTTCCAGGGAAGACTTGGTTGCTTAGACATCCCTCCTCCTTCATTTCTTTTCTATTTTAATTCTTGCCTAGTTGGAAATTTGATTAAAAGCCACATTGAAGACTAGAAGAAAAGCTAGTACTCCACATCCATGCCAATGGTCATTGTCGCTGCTAGGTATTGGGACAAAGAATACATCTAGACAACAAAATACAGGGTAAGAGGAGGTGTCAACTTTCCCCCTTTAACCAGGTTTGGACAACTCAGGACAATGAGATGCTGGAAATGACCCTTTAATTAGTTGGAACTGAGGCAGTCATATAGTGAAGTAACATTACAAAAAACCTCAAAAGAAATATTTTCTAATGGTTCTAAATAGCAAATTGCTTTCCAGCCCTGTCCCAGGCTGCATTGCAAACTTTCTCTTAAAATAAAAGAAAAGCTATTTATCCTGCCTATAAAGCTGCCTCCTTGAGTTAACTGAAAAATTCTTGCCAACCAAGACTCTTAGGAGGAAAATAGATACTTCCACAGGAAGGCTGTCCATCCCTCATGACCTAATAAGCAAGGCAGCTTGCCAGGGTTGAGACACTAAGGTGAAGTAAGGCTCGGTGGGTCCGGACTTGCCCAGAGCAGCAGGATAATGGCTTTGGACAAACTGTGTGGTTCTGTCAGGATATGTTAGTCTAAGTGCTCATTTGTCTTCAAGCACTTAGAGTAGAATGAAATAACATGAATTCATGGAAGTAATTTGGGATTTCTTAAAAAGAACAATGCTTTCCACATGCAACAGAGGAAACATGAATGTGAAACAAAAACTTGAGCCATCTGTACCCTAATTGTATTTCTCTGTCAGTACAAAGGTGGTAAGGTGCTTCTCAAATGGAGGCTTAGAGGCAAAGATAAACTTCACTGAGGCCAGTACTAACATGGCCAGGGATAAACAGGAGTTGCCCAATTCCATTCACTGTGCAGGGTTTCCATGCACTGGGCAGAGGGTCTTACTGCTTATCTACAAGGCAGTCACATTGTAAGTATATGTAATAATTTCAGATACTGAAGTTGGGAAATGACTCCTTTCTGAGCACAAAGCCATGAGCTAATAGAAAATTCAGCTGATGTGCAGAATACCAGTTTACAAGTCTCCCTCTATCTGGCCTTGTTAATACCCCTGCCGAGGCTAGAGAAAGGCAATAAAAAACTTAAGATATCTGGGTGCCAACCCAGGATCCTTAGGCATGAGAGGCATTCTTGTGGTCTAGGGAAGCTGGGAGGGAAGATACTTGGAGGGAGGGGGATTAGGAAGACTCTGCAATGGAAGAAATGAGATGTTGAGTTCAACTGTGAATCCACAGAACTAGCACTGAACATGCTGTGGAATGGCCATCAGGTTTCTCCAAAATCCCCAAGTAAAATCCTGAATAATTTATAATCGAAGTCATTAAAAGTGCAGGATTGGTTTGGGAGATGTTCTTTTTGCTAGAATGCATAAATTCCATGGAAAGATGATCTTCTAAACAACAGTACACTGAAACAGGTGAGTGTGTGGTTGTTGGTGATTAGCATAGGTTTTTGTAGAGTAACATCTCCCTACTGGACTACTCCTAGACTGGTCAGTGACAATATTTAGAGCCTACCCCTACCACCCTTTGTTACTTTCTTCACTCTTCATGTCTGAGTCAGTGTTCTCTAATATTTCTAGTCTCTTCAAGACCTTGAATTGTTAAGGCTGATTTATTTTCCTCATAAGAGACACCTGTGGGTGGGATGGAGCTACTGAACGAGCAAAAGAAGCAGATTCTGTACTGGTTCTTCAGTGGAAGGCATGAGCCTTTGGCAAATAACGCAAACTCTTGGGAACTGTGAAATGGAGGTCCCTCTCAAATCTAAAATTAGATTCCTTCAATTCCATGAGCTCTCTAGATGCCATTCTGAGGAGTTCTCATTCCTGAGACATCCCTGTGCTGTTCACCAAAACCATTTGGTGAGCCAAGATCCTTGGCAAGTATGTGCTGCTCAGAGCCTCAGACTCATAATACCTCTAACAATGTGCTGAGAAAGAGTCCTTACCTCAGCACATGGTTAGAGGATTTAAGTATATATGTAGCTTAACAGTACTACAGTGCTTGCCATCATTAGCAGATGCTGTCTCTGCTCCCACTGCTTGTTGATGTCAATGTGCACATGACAGAGATCTTTTTGAATGGTCTTCCAAGGAACATAGAAAGTTCTTCAGCGAAAGAATTTGCTATTAGCAAACTGTAATGTAAAACCAGACAAAGAGTAAATTATCCCTATTATAGTAGACCTGACTAAAGCTGAGCTTTAGGCCTTGGACACCACCTCCAATTTGGGAAACCAACTGTCTAAAGGCTGTCTCTGAGAGCTAGGTGCTAAAGAAAAAGGCAGGCCTGGCTGACAGCAGCCTCACAGATCCTTGCTTACAACAGCAAGTCTGTAGCAGTTAGGGGAGAAATGGCAGATTTCATTAAACTGTAGCCTTAATATGGTGGTGCAGGCAATGACCCAGAGCTCAGGAGCTGGGACGGCAAAATTCTGGCCTTCAGAGCTGAAATTCCCAAATCAGACATTGTGCCAACCCTAATCAGGAAAGTGGCAAGCCATGGAAATACTCTGTGCCAACAGAGTTTTTTGTTTTTGGTATCATTAATCTATAATTACTTGAGGAACATTATGTTTACTAGACTCCCCCCTTCACCAGCCAACAGTTTTGACCAGTTTTCCATGCAGGATTGTTTCATGAATGTATGTGTGTTAAATAGTCTGTAACATCTAATTCAAGAAGCTAAACCATAAAAAAGCCAACAGAACTCTGACTAGGCCAAGGGGAAAGAGGGTCAGAGTTCAGTCCATGAAATCTCAGGACAGATCTGGAGTGGGGATCCAGGAGCACACACCTGGAGCTCAGAGTGGGCGGGCAGAGAGGATGAGAGAGCAGGGCTTCCAACTGCTGGTGGGAAAGAGGTCATGGACATATACTTGGGGAATGGGGGGGAAGTTTTTCAAATAAAACACCTGCCAGAAGAGAAGCCAGAGCAAGTGTGGGGAAGGCTGGGAGGGCAGGGCCTCTTTCAGCATTTGACCTGGTGGTGGTGGGGGTGGTGAGTTATAGCACCCAGTTCAGCCCCCTCATGTCAGAGACGGGGAGCCCCAGGCTGTGGGGTGACTTGGCTTGCCCTCAGGCTAGTGCTCTCCTCACTAGCTATGGTTCTTCAGTTGAAGGAAAGTACTTGCCTTGATCTCCCCACCCTCACCCAGCGTGACTTCAGAGGGGGCTCTTCCTACAATATGCAGCAGGAGCAAGGAATTGAAAATAGCCTGTAAGGAGGCGAGATGGTATGGAAGAGCCTGGTGCAAAGGAAAAACAGGGTCAGCTGAGCTTGGACCACCCTCACCCCCAGAATATCAATGCAAGGATTTTTACACTCAGACTAACATAACTTGTCCCTATACCTCTTGGCAACTGTGCCTACTCCCAGACTGCTGAATACCATCCTGATGTTTCAATAAATATCAGTAAATCCCTCAGAAGACTTTCAGAGAAAAGCAATAAACATGTTGGAAGACTTGAAGGAAAGATAAAAGGGACCAGAGGTGGGAGCTGAGACCATTAGGTTTTAGGTATGCAGGGGCTTAAGAATGGGAGACCTTTCAAGTTGTAAGCACCCAAGGACCAGAAGAGGAAGGAACACATTTTAAGTGGAATCTGCCCTATTGCAGGCTCAAGAAAATTGGCTCAAATCTCTGTGTTCTTCTTGGCTGTTGAGTCCTGGTAAAATCTTTTTCCTAAACCAGCTGTTAGAAGCAGCTTACACCTCAGATCTCTTTATCTTCATCGCCATTTTAAATATCCCTGCACAGAGGAAACTCCTGCACTTTGATCCTCGAACAGCTGCCTGGGTTGGAATTCCATGGGCAGGGGCTGCCAAGTTTAGCCTTCTTGAGAAGGCTGGTCAACCCCAATAGATGAGACAGCTGGCGGAGACTTTGCCTCAATTCCAGATCTGGCTAACTATGGGGGCAGAAGTTTGTACAAAGGCAAATTTGTCTTTCTGCTCAGGCCAGTGTCGAAATCCGGTAACTCCCTCAGCCTGTCCTTCTGTGGAGAGACCGATGAGGACGTCCCTGGCAGGCTCCTGCTGAATCAGGGTGCTCTGTGAATTCCTTACGAGGCCTGTGGAGTCCAGTCAGCAGCTACGTCTGATCTACTAACTTCCTTCCTCTCCTCCCCTGATTTGGGGTCCAGCTGACAACTTAACTTCCCCCTAAGCCTAGCGGGTTCTCCCTGATGGCCGGGGTTTGGACCCACTGCCTGCTGAACATCTATATGGCTTTTACCTCTTCATTTCTCAGGCCAACATGTATTAAAGGAAATATTCAGGAAAAAGCAAGTTCTTGGATTCCACTCAGAAGGGAAGGAAGTGGAAGGTTGGCTGGGCTGATCCAGATGTTGGTTCACTGGACAGCAGGGGCAATGGGGAGCCAGACAAGGTTGGGGAGGGAGGCTGAAAAGGCAGAGAACCAATGGCAAACATGCCTCCTTTGGAAAGAAGTCAAATTTATGGGAGATGAATTGCTGGAGCAGCAGGCCTAAGAGACCCAGCTATGTCTTCACGAGGACCTGCTTGTTTGTGTCCAATGAGATCATTTAGACTTCCTGTTTTGATTGGCTCACATGATCACAGATGCAGTGATAGATCAAGGACTCTGCCACCTCAGCCCTGGGTGCCTATGGGGCCAGCGACAAGGCCTTGGCAGTAAGGAAGGAGCTCTCTGGCCAAGCCCTTGCCAGAAACTCCTGGCCTTATAACAAATGACAGTCTCTTCCATTCCTGGATGGTGCTCAAGCCCCAGGGTTCCCACCTTCAAAATCTAGAATAATGGGAAGCCTCTTCAAGATGATCTATAGGCACCCCAGGGCAGGACTACAGCTATGCCTCTGCAGCCTGTGCAGGGCCTAACCTGAGGGCTTCCATTCACACC